TTGTCAAAAAAACAAAATTATTTCTTTTAATTAAAACAAAAATAACAAATTTTAACATTTCGAGTTATAGTTTCTTAATTCAGTCGTATAGCATTCATTTTACTGAGATCAATAATCTAAACCTACTCTGTGACAACAGATTCATTTCAGTCTTTAGAAGAACTTAAAAAAAATTAATCAGAGTCGTCGTCAGAATTACAATTTTGACAAACATAAGAATGAACATCTTCAGATTTCAGGCATTTTGAATGAGCCCAATTCTTACACATGACGCATTCAATCCATTGCTCACCTGGTCGTGAGTTGGAATATAAATTGTAACATATTATACAATACCATTCCATGGTCTCTTCTTCACTATCATTTCCATGATTATCGTCTTGCAGGACTTTCCTTTTCACATTTTCTTTACCATTTGCGGATTTACTTGCCACTTTCTTTCGCTTGTTTGTACCAGTTACTTTATTCTTTTTGACTCTTTTTTCAACTTTCGTCTTTATTTTAGTGTTGCTCTTTACTTTTCTTGCTTTTTCTTCAGCCAAAGCATTCTTTTCAGGCGTATCTGTCAGTATTGCTGATTTTCTTATTCGTCGCTTAGTTGTTACACACGATCTTGGTGGTGCTTTTGGTAAAGGTTTAATAGCTTCAGGTGAAAATGTGCTAAATGTGGCTTGAATGACAACATTATTTGACAAATTAGCAATGTGCGAGGGTCCTGGTTGAGGTTCGTTGGTTGCTGATTCTATAATTGCTGGATGTGGCTCGTTACCTGGGATGGTTTCCATATCATGATGCACCTGAGGTTCATTAACGTCTGCTAATTCTTGAAACTGTGGTTCCAGATTTCCCAATTCCAATGAAATATTAGCAGTGTCGGGCATTGGTCGATCAGTTACGAACGACGGGGCAAAATCTTCATCCGTAAATATATCAGGATTGTATGGACTTATGCCTGCCTTTTTAAATGCGTTCATAATGTTATTTGGTGTAGCTGCTAAAGGCCATGCATGTTTGACAATTCCAGGTATCTCATAAATAGACATTGTCTTGCCTGGGTTATTACGTAGCCAGTTTTCTTGCGCTTTGGCACAATACGTTTTAAACGGTCCATTAACGCCAACATCTAGTGGTTGCAAATTATGGGTACAATGTGGCGGGAAAGACAACATTATAACCGAATTGGCCTTTGCCTTTTCAACCACATCAATGTCAACATGTGATTGATGGTTATCAAGCAATAACAATACGGGGTCTTCGGGAGTGGGCTTTGTATGTTTTATAAAATGGTCCATAAATATGAGGAATTCTTTAGCTGTCATCCATCCCGAGCTATTTCCAGCTCCAATACTCTCCGTGGGACCATCTCGAATAAATAAGTCCTTATATTTAAGGCGCGGAAAAATAAACATAGGTGGTACAGTATTTCCCACTGCATTTGCTGCAAGTTCAACGGTAACTAAAGTTCCTCGCTCCGCTGACACTATGGCACCCACTTGTTTAACGCCTTTTGCAGCGACTATTTTCTTTGGCTTTAATACAGTGGTTACTCCCGTTTCGTCCAAGTTCCAAATTCTAGACGGTAGCAAGTTATATTTCAATATGACGTCTCCGAGCTTGCTAAAGAATTCACGAACATTGTGCCGGTTAAAAGAGGATGCGCGTCCTGCACTTGTGGCTTCCGGAGCTCTTATGGACAAAGACGGATTTCTTTTCAGAAAACTAGTGAACCAATCAGCTCCAGCTTCTTTATTTCTATGCCAAGAGACTGGAATATTAGGCATGTCAAATTTGACAGCGCAACTATATGCCAACTTCCTTACTTCTTCTGGCAAAAGACCAAAGTAAATTGATGAACATTTTAATAAATAATCCGCCAATGTCTTCTCCTGGTCTTGGTTGAACACCTGTCTAGAATAGTAACCCACAGTGGGTGTTACACCAGCTTTCAACTTTTTGACGAAGCGAAACAATGTCATATGACATATCTCTAATTCCCGAGCTACCGTCTTAAGTTTACGACCGTCTTTAATAACAGCATCAGCAGCCCGCTGCAAAAGCTCAATTGAAACTTTGCCCCGTTCGGTTTTTCGTTTATAGTTTCTCATCCTAAAACAAAGTTTTAATTTTATTATTTACGTGTTCATTACGGGGCAGGTTGTTCCGCGGAACAACTAGCCCCCCGCCAGAGGAACTTGGAACCCCAAATTCTATTTTCTAAAGTAACATCCAATTATAATAGAATAGGTTTTCAAAAGCCAAAAATGATATTAAAAAGATAATCACTATAGTTTGCTCGACAGATAATAGCAAGTCACACATAAATAGCTAGAAAATTGATTGAAATAGACCAAAAAGTATGATGACGAAAAAATTTACTTACGTGATGTTTGAGTGTCACTAATCGACTACCACGCTAACACGCGGACAGAGCGTCACTAAAATGGCTGACGAAATGGCGCGATGATATGTCGTTTCGCGACGCACTTCACATCTATTGCTATCTCTTTTCTTCGCGGAGCTATTTCAATCGGAACAACCTGCCCCCGGCACTTTGAACCCCGGCCTCCCCTACATCTTTTATGATGATGTACGTGTAAAACGCATGTGAGAAGATAATTGTAATTTTGTAAAGATATTCTAAATATTGATCGGCCGTAAAATCTGCTTTTGAAAGGGTTATCTACCTAGAAAATTTATACAGACGTGCTCGGTATACGCTCCGATATTTTCCGTTGCATTCCACTTATGAAAGACGAATAGACGTAAGAATACAGTGATGGTTAATGAAGGTACCTGTTGTCGCAGAATCATCTCATTTTTTGCAATAAGAAAAGTAATTACAGTGTAAACTCTTTATAACGTCACTCGATTTAATGACAAACTCCTTAAAACGTCGAAATTGCTTGACTTTGGTTAGTTTACATTGTTTTCTATACAATATTACATTCTATATAGCGTCACGCTCACCCTATTTAACGAAACAATGCGGCATTAGAAATCATTGAGCAGTACTTTCTAAGTTGCCGAAATAGATAAGAACTGCAGCTGTGTACGTTGTTGAAGAAGACGATCCTGTCCCTCCACCAAGCATCAAACAAGCACTCGATGCAGCGAAACTATTAAAAAAATACTTTTTATATAATCAAATTGATCCAGCAGTATCTCAAGATATGAGTAAGATACGTAACAAAATACAATTAAAATATTGGAGCAGCAAAAAACATCAGACGAAGATAACAGGCTATACGCAATGTATGAATAATAATGTTCGTGTGCAAAATGTGTACTATATTGGTAAATGCATATTATTATAGAATAGTAAAATAATATCTTTTATTTCTCTCCATTTAACGACCACTCTTTATAACGCCGAAAAATGTTCAGTCCCTTAAGTGCCGTTATATAGAGTTTACAGTGTAGTTTATTTTTTGTAAAAAAAAAACATTAAAATCTTAAATTCCAAACAAAACCTTTAGGAATCTGAAAACCTCAAGGTATCATCCGCAACAGCCAACTAGAAACAGTTTCCTTATTTTCTATTTGACTGCAATGGTTATTTTTCCTATTATAAACACACTGACGTAGATGCATTCCATTAATTATCTGTACGTATTTATGAATATCATATTACTGAATATTTTGGCCGTTTAGCACACGGGTGAATATAGGCGTTCGGAGTGGTTAAACGTGTACGTCATCTCTGCGGCACAAGAGCGACAGCCCGTGTTTTTTGCAAAATTGTCCAATGTTCCAGGCAGGTCGTTTTTGCAGTGGCTAATTCGGCATTGGACGAGGCTGACAAGTCACTTTATAATTCACAACCGGCGATATGTCAGTGCTCTAGTGGACCGACTAAATAATAAACTACACCGGCTGACCCGAATAAAACGCTATCCGCCGAAAAGTGGACCTTAACAACATTCGGTACACTTTTTATCTGGCGATTCATTCAAAGTACCGAATTTACAGTTTATTAAGAAACAGGAAACAATAATAAAGTAGCTTTGATCAATAATTTATCCCGATTTCGAACTGATTAGTTCACATCAGCACGTCACAGGCAGTTTCACAAAATCATCGACTAAACTGGAGTTGCTCCATTTGGACATAAATTAAAATAATCCTTGTACCTACAGGTACATTACGATATTCATTTGTATTTGTGTTTTTCTTCAATTACTTTAAGTAACGAAGTAAACCAGACTGCTAGTTCATGTGAAAAAGCTCTTAAAACTGAAGGTAGGGTTCAATCTTTTCTGTTAAAATTATTGTTACATCACACCCTATCCTTTAATATTTTAAAGTAGCTTCCACCATGAGATCCACTTAGCTGATGTAACCAGAACTTTATTAAAACAACACAAAAATATAAGTCATGCAATTCACTTTAACAGGAAAATGCTTAGATACATAAGAAAAATAATAACATTTGTGATGGATAAATATCAACGAATAATAAAATAATCATCTTTTCCACATTCCGTATGACCTGAAAGTGTAAATGAAATGTCTACAATGTCGATAGATGCATGTCTAGCACGTGGTTATAGCAGGGGTCAACGAGGGTTGTGTATTGACAATCACTGCTCTCCATACCAAGGAGGGATGCCATTCGCATCCAAGTCGCGTATCCAATCTGTTTAACTCGGCTCATTGAATCGTATGCGCCATTGATTTGGTTTCTGAAGTAATTCCTTAGTTTTCTTATTATCTCCGAAATGTTTTTCGCTGTCTATTTCCAGATGAACCTCTGAGTTAGTCAATCTTGTTCGCCTGCACGAATTTTACATGACCTCTATGTCACGAAGAGGACCGAAACCTAATTTTATGTAAGCCTTATCTAATTATAACCAGTCGAAAAGTAATCTTATCAATTAAAATGATTGCTCATTTCAAAAAATTTAATTTCTCCAAAAATGACTGNTATGAAGATAAATATAAATATAAAACAAAGTTACTGGTTTGCAAGGGAGGAAAAAGTAGGGAAAGAGCGAATATAAAGACAGGAGACGAAAAATTAGAAGAAGTGATAGATTTTAGGTGTCTACGAAGTCAGATAAGTCAGGACGGAATGAGTAGTAGGGATATAAAGCACAGGAAAGCGCAGGGTCGAGTCGCCTTTAATAAAAAAGGGTCACTTCTATGATTGCGAACGATTAATTTACAAATTCGAAAAAGATTGTTAAAGGTGTATGTTTGCAACGCGGCGCTGTACGGGTGCGAAACATTGACGGTGGGCGTGCCGGAAGTGAAAAGGTTAGAAACGTTCGAAATATGGTGTTACAGGCGAATGATGAGAATACCGTGGATAGAGAACGTTAGAAATGAAGAGGTATTAGAAAAAATAGGAAAACAGAGGACTCTATGGAAGTCTGTAAGAAATAGGCGAGATAGGTTGATAGGACACCTTCTCAGGCATGAAGTTCTAGTCAGAAGAGGCAGAAACGGAGGGGTAGAGGTAGACCTAGATTAGATTACTGTTCACAAATAGTTAAGGATATGAGTTGTTCTAGTTTTAGGAAATGCGAAGATTACCTGAGGATAAGAAAGAGTGGAGGTGCGTGTCCACCAGTCTTAGGACTGCCGATCTTATGATGATGATACTTTGAAAATAATAATTTAGTCGAAAACATTTTCTCTAAACGATATTTGAAATCAGCAGCTATCTATTTAGGTCAGCTTATTCTTCAGTTCAGCTGTACATATATAAGTACACTAAAAGAGCAGAAATATAGGGAATGTAAGCGAGATTAAATTCGAAATCCCCTTTTTGTATTACAAGGAATGCTAAAAACCAAACTCTTCAGAAAATGAACTGGGTCAAACACCATCTTTTGCTTTCCGGCGATCTGTATCGCTAGCGTTTTACAAGAGCACTCCTCCACTTCAGCTAAAAAAGAAGGAAATGCAAGGAACAAATTTGTATGGGAATACAAAAAAAATCGGTAAATCGATATCCTACAAGACCTTGTAATATTATACACTCAACGATTTTAAGGAAATAGATATCCACGTGATTTACTATCAACTTTAATGTTAAGTTAAGAATATACCTACCTATTTTTGCATTAATAAAGTCAGCTGTACTGGGAAAGAGAGGTCATAAACGTTAACCATTTATCTCTATTATGCCGTCAAAGGCTTCTGTTTAAAGAAAATGCAAAATCTCCCCCGTTTTCCACTTTTAAGTAAGTAACGGCTGATTGACCCTTACCAAATCGACCCATAGGGATCATCAACATCCCTTCCATAGACACATTTACGACACCGTTTCGTTTATCCGTTCCTACCCCTACGTTTATAAAAGAATCAAAGGACCGACTTTTCCCTTTATCTGGCAGCAAAACATAAACGATACTCACAAAAGATAAAAAGGGAAAATAACTTTAGCCATTAACTAATGGATATAATTTAGAATTAAAATATTCTTAACTCAATCTCAATTAATAAATTGTTAATGTTTAAATGCAATTATTAAAGCACCTAGGGAGTCAAAGTTTGTTTTGAACTGGTGGCGTGGCGATAAAGCGCCACCTGGTTGTTATTTATTGATTGTATCGAATGTGAATTCTATTAAAAGATTCATAGATATATTTGGGAATATACATAATTAGGTAGTTATTAATGATCCTTCAACTATTAGGACTACATACTATTATATTTTATTTATGTATGTAGTATGAGAGAAGAAAACAGCTCTGAAATTTTAGAATAATTTAGCATATGGTCATGAAACGTTGAAAATTATTTCTCCATTAGAAGTAATAAATATTTTCGCAGAGACAGTTCGGTATCTAATTGCCTGCATTTTCCACGTTGCAGAAAGGAAATGTAGATTTATTACACCCACTTCGATATCAATTCTCTCTTGAACGCAGAGTAAACGTTATTTAATGCACTATAACGTTTAAATTATCATTTTCCAATACGATAACAATGGCTTACTTACAATTTTCGAAAATATTTTGTTCTCCCGTTTGACCTAACAGCATATGTTAAGAAAATAAATGTCTGTTTCTGATAAGTGCGAGTTAAATTGTAATAAAAAATTTATTAAAGCAACCAGCACTTCCACATCCGATAATAACATCCCTCCCAAGTAAATAAAACATTAAAAACAATGTGTAGAAATGTGTTCAAAACAGGAACAAAAAGTGTTCGTAGAATCTGCTATTGTGGAAGGAAAACAATTCTAATAATAACTAGCAAATGGTGTACGCCCCATACAGTCAAATGCATTCGTAGTAACCTTTATTAAAAGCTCAAAAGTGTATACATATAGTAAGTATCAGTACAGAAACAGCATTGTGCTAGTCGATATAAAAATCCAACATTAATTGAATTTCTGGCGATACAGAAAATAATAATTTTGAGTAGAAAGAAAAACATTTTTAACCTTAAATGGAAGTTGAAAAATAATAATCTTAAAATTTTTGAAAGCAAACTTAGTCAA